TATCCTGTTGAACAGAACTGTCCTCCGATACGTTCGCACTAGAATCTTGGGCTTTCCTGAAAATCTCTGGCAGGTATCAGTGGGCTTGGATTTGAGGCCATGTGGGTCCTTGGGTGTACTAAAAGTATGCCATTTTCTTAGCATTGGGAGGAAGGAAACCAGGTAAAACTCACTTAGAAGCAGGAGATGGATTCACTTCAAGTGTTTGGGAAATGGTGGGAAAGGGAAAAGACCCAGCATTGGTATTTGGTCTTCCTACATTAGCTCTGCTGTGTGGCCAGGTCTTGCAGTGACCAGGCACCTTTAGCACAGTCCTGCTTTGCCCTTACTTGCCCTGCCCTTCCATCTTCTTCCATTCCATTAGCCCCCAGCAGTCAGCAACAGTAGCAGTTAATCAGCGCAGGTCCATTAGCAGGACAGGAGCAGAAAGCAAAGCTGGAGAGAGAACCTTCCCTTTCCCTGGACTGAGTCCAAGATGGGGTACCTGAGTGTCCGAAAAATCCACTGAGTACAAAAAATGAAGTGGGATATAAATGATACGTGATTTCCCCCCATTACCTGTCTGTCTCACCCTCCCTAGGCTATCCTAGACTCCGTGTTAGCACCCACTGTATGTAAAGCTTTCGCTGGCATGTTTTGGAACCCTGGTGACGCATTGGGCTGCTCTCTGCAAAGTCAGTAGTTCAAAACCACCAGCCGCTCCAAGGGAGAAAGACAGGGCTTTCTACTCCCATAAAGAGTGTCAGTCTCAGAAACTCATAGGGCAGTTCTCCTCTGTCCTGTCGGGTCACTGGGAGTTGGTGTGGAGTGGATGGCAGTGAGGTGAAGAAGTTGTTACTCCTCTGGGGTTTTGAAGAGGAACTCTCGCTGCTATGGAGTCAGTGCTGACTCACGGGGACCCTGCAGCACAGGCTAGAACTGCCCCTGTGGGTTTCCAAGACCGGCACTCTTCACCGGAGTAGAAAGCCTCATCTTTCTCCTGTGGAGCAGCTGGTGGTTTCAAACTGCTCACCTTGCAGTTAGCAGCCCAACGTGTTACCCACTGTACCTTCAGGACTCCTTTTGATAAGGAAAGATGTCATATGTTCCTAGAATTCATAGAACATGTAGATCAAAATAATCCAGATATGTGTTGTAACATGGATGAGCCTTGAAAACATCGTGCTAAGTAAGAGCAGCCGTTCACAAACGATGATGTATTCTGGGATTCTATTTATGTGAACTTTCCAGAGGAGGTACATCTATAGAGACAGAAAGTAGATTTTGTAGTCACCTTGGCTGACAGGAAGGTCAACTGCTAATGGATATGGATTTTTTTTATGGGAAGACAAAAATGTTCTAAAATTGGATTGTGGTGTATGTGTGTGCTCCCACACGAGCAACCTTGCAAGCTTACTAAAAAACCTTAAATTGTACACTTTGCATGAGTGCGTTCTCTAATACATAAACAACAGGTCAATAAAACTGCTGAGAATCAAGTACACATTAGCCAAGTAGAAACCAGTTGTGCAATGAAATGATAAGCCTTGGTTGAATTAATGAATGAAAAGTCTCAGAATCGGTGAGTTTTGAGAAGCTGTACTTGTCGCTAAGGTACCGTGCTTGATAACAGTGCCAGGAACATAGATATGCTCAATAAATGTATGACTGGTTAATTTGAAAGTGAGTCAGGGAGCACCTACTGTGTGCGAGCAGGTGATCAGCATGAGGGATACATCAGAGAGGCAGGTAAACATAGTCTCTCTCCTAAGGCATCTCATATTAGTACAGCAAGACCCGTGGAAGTGGAACCCTGTCAGAGAAGGACAACTCAAAAATGCCCTCCATTAAAAAGGAGCCACAGGAAAGTGGTAAAGCTGCACCCTGCCAAAGGCAGAGAGCTCATGAGACTTGGCAAAGCAAGGCCGCTCTGCCAAGGCCCAGCTTTCACAGGCCCCAGTGTCTCTATGAGGAGGGTGTGTTAGACCTCACACCTGATTTTAAACTGGTCTGTACCCCATGATCATCGTGACCGATATCACGATTAGGAGAATGTTAGAATGAGGAAACTGAGGAAGGAAGGCACAGAGACCTGGGATTGGGAATAGGGAGTGGTCAGACCCTTCCTGGTTGAGGCTGCAGACCTGGCTTCCACCATTTCCCTCTTCTCTCCTGGAAGGATTCTACACCAATTCCCAGTTGTTCCACACAAACTCTAAAACCTTATAGGATTCCTGTGTAATTGGACTTGTCCCATCGGAGGAGGACAGGGGCTGTTAAAAGTCCAAGTGAAGCACTCAGATGACGAAGGGAAGAGCTCTTGGAGAAGGGAGGAGAAGATGCATGTGAGGCCTCCCATTTAACTTGAGTCTAAGAGGAGCGGAGTCCTTCCGATTCCTGATCCTGTGCACTGAGCCTCATGCTAGGGATGGCCATCATTGCCTGCTCACCCGGAAGGATCTTTCATGCATGCAGGAGAGGAGCTCGAGGTTTGATCATTTCTGGAGGGCCAGAAGGGTCAAGGCCTGTTGGGTTCTGTGTCCAGCACCTTGTACCCAGGGAGCTATCCCACCGGTGGTGACTGTACACCATATCACGGGTGCGTGCCAGTGGAGACTGAGAGAGTGGTGGAAGTAAAATCCTAGGAAGGCAAGGAGGCAAAACCATAAATGCAAAATAGAGCCAAGAAATTTTAGGTGAAGGAGCAGCTCAAATACAGATCAGCGGCCTGACCAGAGAGACGTTTGATGGCCCTGATCTCCAAGCAGAGAACACAGTCGTGCTTGTAGCCTCCAGCAGAGGGACTGCCTGGGGTGGTGAGACTGGCTCTCTCAAGCTCATGGAGGCCGCAGCTCTATTGCTCCCTGGGTTCCCCAGACCTACGAATTTCTTGACATAGGATGACCAGGACCCAGACATCCTCAACTTGGAGGTTAAGGACCCTGGGGTGCCATGCTAATTGGATACCAAATCAAATTCCAGCCCAGGAATGACTGTACCCCCTCAACCATGTCATGTTTAGCCTTCTGAAATCAGCATATTCTACTGGAAAGGACTTCCATCATCTGGTCTACCTCTGTCTCCAGTCAGGCAATCCATCCCAAACGCTTGCTTGTCTTGTTTGTAAGGTTTATTTATGGGGACAGAGATTCTGTTACCTGTCTGGGTTGTCCAGTCTAGGGTTTATCAGAAAGTGCTAAGTAACAAACATTTATTTCTTATGTTGGAATTATGCATATTCCATATATTCTAACTCAGTAAGGTGGAATGAACTTTAGCACTGCTTTCAGAAGACAGGGACTGAATCGTTTCTTACTTTTTTCTAACTAGTCTTATAGAGGCTAATCACCTAACATACCGTATATACTCGAGGATAAGCCGACTTCGAGTATCAGCCGAGGCACCTAATTTTACCACAAAAACTGCATAAAACTGTGCTGAAAAAATCGGCTTATACATGAGTATATACGGTAGCTCTCCCAAAAGTCTCTTCCTGGCAGGTGGTAATTGGAGGTTCCAAGCAACATGTTTATGATGTTCTACAGAGCCCCTCGTGGCTATGCCCAGAATGCCCCCAGCACAGTGTCTGTAATCGTATCCTTTGTCTCGCTTCTAATAAGCCAGGCAGCTGCTCAGATGTGGTTATTTAGGGCAACAGGGAACAGCCAAGCTGAGCCTGGCCAAGACTAGCCTGGGGCCAGACTAAGTCAGGTTGGACATGAGAGCCAAGAGAATGACTGGGACTCCCTATCATAAGCCATCTGTATAGCCTAGTCTGTAATTTCTGGGGACCCAGGGACTTGGCACATAGCTACAGGGGTACCGAGAGAGTAAGGAAACTTGATTTCTACTAAAACACCCAGATATTCAAGTTAGTGGTAGGACAGCTGGCCTCTAGGAGGGCCGGAATAACAAAAAAGCTGTTCCTTGTGGGACTTTGCTGCCGTCTAACAAATGTGGATTTTTCTACCCACTGCCTGTTGATTGTTCTGTACTGAAAATCTTTAAAGCTGTTTGTCTCTCTTAAATTGCATTTCTCCCTCGTGTTTACTCAGCTTGTGAGCAGGAATAGTATTCCAGCCAGTATCCCTCCAAAGACCTCTTTTCCTTATGTTGTAAGATTGCAGATTCATACTCCCAAGCTCCAGATGACCTGTCAGAGAATACCGTTGGCCTTGTGACAAGATAGAAAGCAAATAAACAATAGTTTCATTTCTGTTCTGATTTTATTGAGTTGACTTTATCCATAGCTTTGATACCATGGCTGCAACAATGGGTTCAAGCCCACCTTCTTCTACGTTTGGCCTCCGAGGCCCCATATCACGTAGGGCCTGCTGACCTATCCAGCTCTCTCTCACTACTTTTTGTCTTAAATTTTGTTTATGTCTTGGTCCTCACCTTCATCTGTGTGTTCCTTGCATAGAACTCTCTCCTCAGAGTCTAACTGCCAAGAAGATTAAAAGATCACCCTGAACTCTCAGGAAGGACTGTCTTTTCTTTGTAACCTTCCCTGACTTCCTTTTGGCGAGCTTTGGTCCTGACACAGCGCCAGGAGGAGGGTGGGTGTTTGGTCACTGTGTTCAGGGAATGAACAAGCCTTCACTTTTCCTTAAATTTACAGCGGTGTTTCATCAATCCTTCTAGACCTGCAACAAAACGATCTTGTGTTCTTGATCCCGTTGCATTCCAGGTAGATTTGGATGATGCAATATGGAATGATGATTTTCAGTCCCACACTGCGCATTGCTCCCTCCCCATATTGGCTCCCATTATTGGTTCCTTCTTGCTCGATGTTACATATGAAGGGATTTCAACAGGTTCATGGAAAAATGGAATTTAAAAGACCAGGGCCCTTTTCAACAAACTTTGAAACCTCCTTGGATCACCTCTAGGACCACGTGGGGATGTTGTATAGAGAAACAGAAGTATGTACTGGAGTGTCTAAGAAAGGGTGGTTAAGATGGTTCACAAGAACCAGTGGAGAGGTCTGAGGGGCCGGCCCCAATCCCAACTACGTGGACAGCTGCCCCTCCCCCCAGAAGAATTGATTTCAGAGGACAGCACTGAAGCCGCAGCTCAGGCAGAGGGACATGTCTGATCAGAGCACATCCTGGCCTACCAAGCCTTGACGATGATATTCCTGCTCAGAGCAGCCAATCCACAGAGAAGACCATATGGCCGGCCCCACTATGAGACACGACATCCCTCACTGACCCATAGCCCTACAGGGGACAACACTGGAGACACAGTGTGAGAATTCCTCCCGATCTGATCCTACCACACTGAGGCAAAACACTAAGGGCATGCCATAGAACAGCAAGGGGAACAGAGCAACAAAGTCCCCAGGGAATACCAAAAATAGACTTTGGGGGCAGGGCTTGGCACCCCATCAGACTCGACTGGAAAACATGCCTAAAGGCCAACAAACAGTCCTTGAACTAACTATAAGCTTTTCTTTTTTTGTTGTTGCGTTG